GCTGGCATTGATGCATGCCAGCGTTTGCGTTGCTTTGTCCTTGTTTGTCTGAGTCTGTCTGGTTTGGCGTGTGAGAACATCACAGAACGTTCATATCAGCACGACCTTAACTGATCAGTCCTCCCCTGCTGCTCTGGGCGACGGCTGCAGCATGATGTGCGCAGCCCTACTTCCAGCCGTTCTGGGCCCAGTTCGCATGTCAGCTGAAGAGGCTCATGTGACTCCACAGTAACTCGTCAAGACTCTAACAACGTCTCGGCTGGCCCTTACGAAGACACGGTCAGACCGGTGTACCTGAAGTGGTGAACACGTAAAGGAGGATGCAACATGTCTAGCAGCCATAGGGTCGTGCGCTATCGTTGCCATGTCCCACATTTTCGGATGCAAGCAAACTCCACCGACTCCCCCGACGACCAGCGATGAGGCCAGGCACTGTGATGATTGCCCTGCCAAATACTCACAGGATGCTTAATCGCTTCAGTCACACACGCATGCCCGATGACATGCTTGACGCCCGAAATTGGATCCCAAATGATCTTGCAGTTCACTCACGCTGAAATGGGGACTTTTCCAAAACCATAGCCTTCATTATTTGCTGCAGTGTGCCTCTCCAAAAGTAAGTACGTGCTACCGTAGGAATTTCATTCTTCTGGGTGTCATTAACAAAGGATGCCTCACAACCTCCTGCAGAATCTATGCACAGGAGAGTTCTGGAAGCACCAGCGATGCGGAGATGAAGAAGAAGAAAGGCAATCGTGCAATGGGCAAGAAGAGCCTCAGCAAACAAACCGCAACATCCTTTTCAAGTTTCAGTTCTTGAAAGCCGAAGTCTTGTTTAGCAGTTTTGCTTGCATCGACGGGTTTTATACAATTCAGAGCTTTCGACTTCTTGCACTGTTTGGTTCTGGAGGCAAATCGCAGGGTGGGATTCTGTTTGAAGCTGCAGGAAATTCCCGAAAGCTGTGAAGTACTACACCAAAGCCATCAAAATCGATCCAGAGAATGTGACCTGGCCGGCTAATTAGGTCCAGAGGTCCGGTCGTTTGGAGTTTGGGCATTGATGCATTGATGTGTCAAGTCTCGGGCTCGTAGTTGGCCTCCGCACGGAGAAGGTCGGACCGCAAATCGACGCATGCGCAATTCACAATTCTTGGCTAGAGGCCACCTACCATCTCAACCGGGCCATTGCCAATGCAGCACTGGAGCTCTGGAAAGATGCTGAGGCAGCATGGCCCCCCGCACGGGACATTGTGATATAGACAGACGGAGAAGCGTAGATACTAGTAGCTAGGCAGATCGGTACGAGCTTCAGCGAAAAGGAGACATGACCATGAGTGTTTCATGTCGTCTCAGTCCCCATGTAAGGAGCGGTTCTGTTGCCTGAAAACTTGCGACGGATCGTAGCGCTGTTCCGAGGACTTTTTTGGCGGTCCTCTATTTGTGCTGTTGTGGCTTCGGTCCGAGTCGACGCTTGAATCCCTCACACCCCTTCGATCCCAGCGACAAATTTGGAAATGCCTACAAACCAGATTCCTTGCGCAAGTTGTGGGAATGAGTTCATCGCTGACTTTGGACCTTGCCAGAGTTTTTGGATGTGCATAAGTTTCTATGGTTTGACTGCGGGCCAGAACTTGCGGGTCTTGGAATGCACAATTCAACAGGGAATCCATCCCCACGGAACTCATGCACACACCCATATCCGTGGATGCGTATACTGACGTATACGTATACATACGTATACATAGGTACACATACACACATGCATACATACACACATACACACATACATACATACATCTACACACAAGCATGCACATAGAGACATGTACATACAGACGTACATACATACACACGTGCATGCATACATACAGACAGACTGACAAACAGACATACACATGTACATACATTTTCACCTGCATACATACATACATAGTACGTACATATATACACACACACACATAGAAGTGTTATACACAGATGCATATTCAAAGACACATCACCCATATACCAGACATGCACGCACTTGCATATATCTACTTGCGGTGTGCTACCTAGGTATCTAGTCTTTTCTACTCTGGTCATTCTGTTATACTATGTCATCTTTCAACATACCATTCTGGTTATTACTGTTATTACTGGGATTATTTTATGGTTATTTTTATTGTGGTTATAACAGGAATAGAAAACACTAATGATGATAGAACACTAGAGCTAGTGTTATTTGTACGTGTCCATGCTTAGCAAGACCCTTGAGGATGGCACGGCAGAGAGAGAGAGAGAGAGAGAGATTGAGATTATCTCACTGTCACATGTCCCGTAAACTGTTGTTGCATGCTTTGTTTTCGGCATCGTGTCTTGGCATATCTTGTCTTTGCGCTCGCAGGTAGGGGGACATGTGGCAGAATCATGCTAGGACCTCAAAGCATGACCCAGCCGGGGGGAAACTTGCCCTCGCAGTCCCATGCCTTATCGATGTTGCATCATGACTGTCTCTAGTCGTGTCTTTCTGCATACGGGGACATGAGACCGAGTTTCTTAGGGTGCCCACGAACTGCAACTACGACGAGGGGGGGCAGGACAATTTCTACGTGCTCTTAGTGTGCCACATATCACTCTGTGCAGTCCTGCCCCGTCCGAGTAGGCCTTGTCACAGTCTCTTCAAAGCCCCATAACACATGGGGGGCCCATGTGGCCGACCTGACCCGTCCCTTATGCCCAGTGGAAGAAGATTGAGATTATATGGGGTGTTTTCGGGGGTCGGTCTGAATATCCCCACTTGGGGCAACACTGCTGCATTCCCCGAAAAAAGGGGCCTCGAGGACGAACCATCGTGCACCATGGGGGGTTGGCGTTCGGGGCCGGCGGTCTATTGACCCCCCCCCCCATGCAAGCAAGCAAGCAGGCAAGATTATAATCAATACACAAAAAATGTACATGTACGTATGTTTTTATTTATTTACATAATATCCAGTCCACTGCATGCAGATAGAAACCCTGCTGCCACTGCTTCATGCGAATAGATTGTCGAACACATCCACTTATAGTTTCGGGTGGGAAGGTCTCCGGGCACACAAGTGAGCGACGGCAAACGTCGCAGCTCATCGAATGTACGGGGGCGAAACCTCCGCAGGCAGATGCAGCAAACGCGGTGGAGCTGCAGGAAGACCAGCCGTCGTCGAAGTTACCCGGCCGTGCCTGCAAAAGTTTGCACGACATGCATCCGCATGATTTCATGTTTCTGTTTCACTGGTTCCACGTGACATAAACAAAAACGGTACTCATCAAGAGCATGAGGCATGGTGCGTGGGGCATGGTGTTAGTTGGCAAAGTCGAGCTCGCACCATCACATGTCCCCGGAATCATGATACTTGGGCAGGGTGACCGTGGCCGGCAAACTCGCGTAAACAACTGTCCCGTGCCACGAAGCTTGCTGTATCAGTTCATGTCCATAAGCTGATCAGTGCGAGCGAGTTCTAGGTGGCGATTGTTCTGGTAGTGGCGAGGCGTAGAGTCAAAAAACCGAGGGATGAAGCTTGACGTACAGGGTCTATTGTCAGGGTTGGCTTCAAGTTGAGACTTAGTTGATGGAGTCGCTGTGAGGTAGTTGAAGAGGTCTTGAGTTTACGCAGAATTCGTAGATTTGTGGTCGAGGTCTATGCGTTCTTGTGCTTGCACATAAACAACCCCCAGCAAAATCCGCAAGCTCTCTTGGAGTCAATGACGAGAACATGTACAGGCAAGCTGCGCCTGAAGGCCGCAGCAGGAGAAATTCCAATCAACGGGTATTGTCGTCTGGCCGTGAACTTAAGCCAAGGAGCCACTTTCAGCTCGCTCGGGCGCGCTTCCGGCGAGGAAGATGCCTGGAAGCGCGCGAGGCGTGCCACTCCAGCCTTTGGGGTTGCGGGCTGGAAGGGCTTCGTGTTACACCGCGATGAAGACAGGGTTTCTGCCATTCGGACAAGCTTCTCACACGAATGGGTCTGTGATCTTCAGGATCGGGTCCTGAGCTGAATGCAAAGCTTCGATCCGAGAAATTCGTGCCAAGAGATGGCGTGCAGTTCCGACACCTCTTAATGTGCCATCGGCAGTAGCAGGACAGAAGACCATCGGGTTCCGAGCGGGGCATCACCTGCCGGCCTCGCACTGTTGTGGGACCTTAAGTTTGAATGTGAAGAGGGTGTATCCACATGCGTTCCCACAGCCGGTGTCCCTAATTAGATTTGTTGGTCCCCCCGAGTCCGCTCCCTCTCGTCTCCATGCAATCTAACAGTGCGCTTGCCTGCTTGCACGTTTGTGTGCGCATCCGTCGAATTATGAAGGGGGACCGCCTTGCTGCAAGCGCGCACCCAGAAGGCTTGCGTCAATTTGCATTTGCATGTCGGCTATAGGCCCTAAAGATGGGCTTGGAGCGGTTCCCCACGGAGCCGGCGCTCATCAAGCTCGGCCGCTTGGCCGTTGAGCTTTTCTTTGCTTCGAGTCTTTGGCAGGTTTGGCGGTCAATGTTTGCGAGGGGTGCAGGGTTTTGCAGTACTGCGAAGCCTTATGGGATGGTTTACCAAGACGATGCTGGGTACTTTGGGTTACCTGATTATAGTGCCTCTTCCACAGCCAGTATCTTGAGTCTTGTCGCGTGCTCCGATTGCACGTATGGTTCCGCGGAGGTGTGCCGACTGTTCGATTTTGTTCTGTGGAGCTAAGTGCGGCTCAGGATGCACAGGGAGATCTTCTGCCATGGTAGCCTTGAGATACGTTGACTGCCGCGGTGCTCGTCATGCAGTGTCATGCAGACTAAGATGAGTGCAGAAACAGGCCGTAGTGTCGATGATGGCTGTACTCAAACGTCAGTTGAGCTCCGACTGCCGTTGCGAGCAACGCTTTCTATTTCAACCAGCTCCCAACGTAAGCTCAACGCCTGAGTAAGCTGGAACATACTGGAACCTTGTGGGTAGTTTTGCAAAGTGCCTGAGTCGTCCAGGCCGAGAAATCGACACTGCCGTGAAAGCTTTGCAGCGGAGACGGGAAGAGGCAGACGTGCCGTGCATCGCTTGGGTTGTGCACCGACATTTTGCAGTATTTCGCAATCATGTCCAGCAACTTGCTCCGAGCGAACACGATTGCCTTTGCAGTCCACAGACTTTGGATCAAATAGCAGGAGCCCGTGAACCTTAAACTTCTCCCCAAACGCCGCCTCATAGTCTCGTTGGACCGAGGATCCCAACTGCATTTCGGCTTGCAACAGTAGCGACAAGCTTTAAACTACCAGGAGTCGAAACAGATCAGCCAGACGTGACCCTCTCTGACCTGTGGCCAGGAAGAGGAGGCAGAACGGAGAACCCTTGTCGCCGGGCCTAGTGGAGTGAAGTCCCTCACCGATCAGGCGCTTCCTGTGATTGGTGCTCTGGATTTTACCTCCGGATGTGTGCTTTTCGTTAATTAATGCCGATATGCATGCAAATCTCTGTCACCTCGTCGGTGCTTTATGCTTCCATGGCTTTGCTATGAACCGTGTCAAGCGGCACTTCACTGCATACTACATTGAATACCGGATGGATGCGTAGACCACCCCCGACAGATCGGATCAGAAGGACCCTGGTTTTTCCCTTACGACCAGTCGTTATAATGACCCATCAAATTCATTCTCCCCGATGTCACGGGATTGCCGGGGCTCGGGCCGAGAACATTTGCTGGATAATATCCAGTAAGTAATGATGTAGAGAAGACTAGTTATTTGTATACATATATATATATATATTGCATGCATACATACATTAACATATATATATATATATATATTTATTTATTTATTTATTACACGCACACATATTGCCAAGGCCTTGGAATGCTTAAGACAACTTTTGGACATCTGGGGTCAGATCTAGAGGTTTTCGGGGTTGGCCACGGGCAAAACTAAGGAAGGTTTGAGTTTAAGTTTTGCTGCATAAGCAGGGCTGGGTTCGAGCTTTTCCTGGTGCAAGAGGCGGCCGCGACTCCACCACCCAGCTCCCCAGCCGCGGCCCTTGCACCGGCCAGCCCAAAATCTTACACCGGCCTTTGCGGGGGCATCTGACCCGACGGTTTGCACCGGCATCCCCTGGTGTCTTAAGCAGTCCAGGGATTTCCCAACACATAGGCCTACATAAATACATACATACATACATACATACATACATACACATACATAGATAGACAGATAGATAGATAGTTCGACGGTTGTTGGAGTGTGTGTCGAATAGTTCTGCCATCTTTCTTTGCACTGGTGATGTCAAACTATGCAGTATGGGTTTGTTTTGATTGCTTCTGAATTGTGTTGTATGCAGGTAGACGGTGGCATTAGACGTAAGACTCTTGCAAAAGCCTAGCCTATAGTGTATGGCGTGACAGCAGAAAGCTTCAAAACTCGGGCCTGTAGTTCGACGGTTTCTGTGTGTGTGTATATATATATATAGACAAAAACCATACAACGAGATGGTGTGGGGGTCTGCTTGGTGTAGGCCCCCCCTCCGTCCGCCTTTCCAAACAAAACAAGCGACTCGATAGTGTTTCTTTTCCGGTGACTGGCCCGGCCGGCGGGCTTGGCGGACGAAGCAGTAGGAGTACTTAGTGCAAAGATCGCCCAGCCGGTACGGAACTTAGCATTGTTGGGTACGCCCGATTCTTTTTGAAAAGGCCTGCAGGCCTCAGCCCTACAGAATTGATGGCCTGGCCTCCGTGCATACTGGATTTAGTAAGCAACCCTGGATGGCTGGCCTCAGACCCATCCAGATAGCCGGGCCTCGTCCAAAAGCCTTGTAATTGGTGTGTGTTTGGGAAGCCCGGCTTCCCCAAAACAAGAGTCCGGAAAAAACTTGTCATTTTACGGGTCCCCCAGACAAATTTAGCGATTTCACGTGGGCCCCGCACCTATCACTCTTTTGCATTCTCTCTCTCTCTCTCTCGCTCTCGCTCTCGCTCTCTCTGAGTCTCTCCCTTCTCTCTTTGTCTGTGTGTGGGTGTATGGCTTTTGCGGCTTTACATGAACAGACATGCTGGTGCAGTCACGTTTAAATTTCGTGCAGTACCAACCAAACGATTTGCCAGGCCCTGGCTTCCAGATGCCTGTTTATCTGGAATCTGGAACCTTGGTCCGAACAAAGCTGGAAACACAGGCACAGCTATTTTCCCACACCAAGAAGCCAGAACTTCGAAAAACATGGGTGTCGAAGCGATGCCAATGTAGAGCTTGCAGGACCTAGATGAGCATGTATGTATATGTATATGAATATATATATATATATATATGCATGCATGCATTCTCTGCGTGTGTGTGTGTGTATGTATGCACATACACATCTACGTGTGTGTGTATATATATATATACATACACGCAAACATACACACACATGTATATGTGTATATATATATATATATATATATATATGTATGTATACAGTATACACACACGTATCTTTTTTAACTGTTGCTTTTTAACTTTTGTCGGGTGCTTTAGGGTTAGGTTTGGAT